ATATGGAACAACCACCAGGGTTTGAAAAATCAGATGCAACTGGAAAACCCTTAGTCTGCAGACTACACAAGACAATATATGGCTTAAAGCAAGCATCTAGAGCCTGGTCTACAAAATTATCCAAGGTACTTGAATCTTTTGGTTTCCAGATGTCAAAAGCAGATTCTTCATTGTTTTACAAGCACAAAGATGGTATCTCTACCTTTATCCTCACTTATGTTGATGACTTAATCATTACTGGAGGTGATGAAGTGTATACACAGCAAATTATCAATGATTTGTCCAAAGTTTTCTCCTTAAAGGATCTGGGTGAGCTGACTTATTTTCTTGGTCTTGAAGTGATCAGAAACTCAAATGGAGTTCTGTTATCACAAAGGAGCTACATACAGGAAATTCTAGGCAAAACTAAAATTCAAGAGAGTAAACCTCTCAGCACACCTATGGTGACAACTCCTCTTACAAAGTTTGAAGGACAACCTGTGGAAGAAGCCTATGAATACAGAAGTTTAATTGGAGCTCTTCAATATGCAAGCATTACAAGGCCAGACATATCATTCAGTGTAAATAAATTAAGTCAGTTCATGCAAAGTCCCACCAAGACTCATCTTAAGGCACTAAAAAGGTTATTAAGATATCTGAGGGGAACTTTAGAATATGGCTTGCAATTTTATGACAAATCTCATGGACAAATCATTGGGTTTGCTGATGCTGATTGGGCCTCTGACATAGATGATAGAAAATCAACTTCAGGTATGTGTGTTTATCTAGGTAAGAATCTTGTAGCTTGGAGCTCAAAGAAACAGAACATGATTTCCAGATCAAGCACAGAATCTGAGCTTAGGAGTTTAGCTTCAGTTACTTGTGAAATAATGTGGCTACAGTCTCTTCTCAAGGAACTCCAGTTTGAAAACAAGTCACCCTCGACAGTATGGATAGACAACAGAGGTGCAATATCCCTAGCATGCAATCCCATTCAGCATTCAAGAACAAAGCACGTTGAGATCGACATGCATTTTATGAGAGAGCAAGTGAATAATAAAAAGATCTCTATACAGCATGTGCCCTCTCTATATCAAGTTGCTGACATACTAACTAAGCCCTTAAGTGGACAATTCTTCACTCGGTTATGTACACAACTTAATGTTGTCCCTAACCCGATGTTCGAATTGAGGGAGGCTAAAGGAAATCAATATGCACGTGTCAGTCACAATGGGAGCAAGTGCAAGACAAGAAGTTCACCTCAGCATGATCTTGTTGCAGCGGAGTTGATGAGAAACGGCCATAACTGCCATAACTGCCATATTGTAGTTTATGTATAAATATGTGTTATTGTATTGATATGAGAATGTATCTGAACAAATGTTTAATGCATAAAATTCTCAGCTTCAATTTCTTGTTCTTGATCAAATATTTTTTGCATTATGTTCACACAAGAAATCTTTTAATCATCTTATATGAGATTTTACATATAGTTTGGGAAAGTTATAATAGTAACAATAATAATAATAATAATAAATAACAAGACAGCTGGACTGAAAAGGCTTCTTTGTATAAATGCTCTCTCTCTCTCACTCTCTCACACAGTAATAGTCTTTGTTGTCTCTCTCTCTCTCTCTCTCATTCTCTCTCTTAGCTGCATCATTTTCTGGTCCAAGAAACACTCTTTTCTGTCTCCTCTTTTCTTTCACTCCTTCCTACATTTCTCTGCTGATTTTGCAAGTCACATTTTGGGCTTTCTTTTCTTTCTCAATTGGCAACAATGGAAGCTAATTCTTCCGGTGAGGATTGCTGTGTGAAAGTAGCAGTTCATGTGAGGCCGCTTATCGGAGACGAGAGGCTTCAAGGCTGTAAAGACTGTGTCACTATTGTGCCTGGGAAACCTCAGGTACGATCTTGATTTTTGCTATCCTATAATTCTTTTTTCTTCTATTTTGAAG